CTTTCAGTGATCTATGGTAAAACCGCACAGTACTGTCTCTAAGGAATTCACTCCATAGTTAAAGAAATAATAGATAGGCTGTTTATCATGGTTTGTATTGGTCATACACTCTAAAAAGCCAGAAAGCAGCTTGCCTTATGGAACAGTAGACAGGCCAGTTACTAAGGGTGAAGGAAATGCATTTGGGGACATAACACTGTCTTCCAAAAGGGAAAAAAAAACAAATGTGGTATGTTTTCTGTATCAGTATGATGTTCTTTTTCTTAAAGCTAAAATACACACATCAGGAGGGGGGGGAGGGAGGGAAGAAATACTTGTCATGATGTGATGCTCAGGGGCTGATATGGGTTGAATTATGTCCCTCACAAATTAGTAAAATCCTAATTGCCCAGCACATGGGATTATGATAATTGAAGATCAGAGACCTGTAGATGAGCAAACTGATATGAAGTCATAATTCAATAATTCCTAATTTCTTAAGAAAAGAGGACATTTTCTTAAAAAAATAGGAGGAGCCAGACTTATGCAGAGGGAAGATGTTGCAAAGACATTGGAAGAGTTCCATCTGCAAGCGAAGGAATGTCAGGAGTGACTAAAAACCTGAGAGATCTTCTTCCTCACAGCCCTCAGAAGGAACGACCACTTACGACACCACTTACGACACCTTGATTTCTAATTCCTAGCCTCTGGAACTGTCAGACAACAAATTCTATTGTTTAAGACACCAGTTTGTGGCACTTTGTTACAGCAGCCCTAAGGAACAAATTTATTATTCTATTCTCAAAGTTTTTCCTCTCTTTTCTTACAACTAGGTTCTGCTCATTTCAAAACTGAGAAGCCAAGGAAGAATACAATCACCAGAGGACCAGGTATGTTTTCCACTGGCTTAAAAGCAGAGCCTGTAGCCACTGAAAGTTCTTTAGTTTAAAAAAAAAAATGCTGGAATGGCAATAATCAAATCAAAATATTGTTGCCTTCACATATAATTCAGGGTTAATTCAGTTACTTATACAGAAAAAGATATTGTGAAAGAAGATGGATATAACCATTAACAGGAAGGAATTCAGGGATAAGAGTTTTCCTGAAAAAGATTATGATTCATTTCATAAAGCCAACCAGAAAACCTGAGGAATGCTTGAGAGCAAGAGAGATATGAACTTGGTGGTGAACGAACAAGTGATAAAGATTGGCCTTAGCTTGTAATAAGAAAGATATTCTCTTGACTGTTTTCAAAAATTATTAATTGCAATATAATACAGGATGTGTTAGCACACTGCAATACATCATTTCATCTATAAAGCATAGCACAGACTTAAGAAGTCATGGATGTCCGCTGATGACATTAAACTAGGAAACTGGGCTTTCCTTTTCTCTCAATGTGGTAACTTGAGCAAGTGGGCCTTGCTGCTATACATTAGTTATTTGCATCATATTAGAAATATCTGCACTATATTTGAAATATGTTCAAATGGTGTGGTGTGCATGAAAAAATAGGGCATATATATATGTTGTACAGCCCAACATTAAAATGTGTACTTTTCTTGGTTTTGCTCCCTTCCAGGCACCCATTCCTTTGTGGGAACGGTCCAAGCACTGGCCCTAGATCTAGTGAGCTTTCAGTGACAGGGCTCCAGAGACAAGCTAAGCCAAAAAGATCAGACCTTCTCTCGTAGGAATTTGAATTGGGAGCACAGACACACAGACCTAGAAGGTCATTAGAACTAAGTCACCTGGCCCTCCCTGGTGGCGCAGCGGGTTAAAGCACAGCACTGAGAAACTAAAGCCACTTCTGCATGAGTTCGATTCCCGCCTGCCCCGAAGGTGACCACATGGCGCTGCAGATATCTCCTGACCCGCCCGCTGCTCCCCTCAGCAGTGTACTTCGTCGATCTGCCTGTTCTGCTCCCCACTGTCTCTAGTGAAGCCTCTCACCGCCCCTGAGCCTCTGGCCTGTACCCCAGTTCTGTATGAAGAAATAAATAAATCTTAAAAAAACAAAAACAAAAACAAAAACAAAACTAAGTCACCTGATGGTCACTCCCAACATAGTGAACACAGGAGTTCCTACCACACAGATCACGTTAATACCAAAGTCACTGGCTTCCCTAAGCCTGGTTTATCAGCATGCCATTTAGACATCTTCCACTAAGTCAGTCTGCTGCCTGCCCAAAGGCCCACCCGCTCACCCTCCCTCGTTCCCTTCCTTTCTTCCCTCCCTCCATCAAGAGTTCATTATTGCGGCTTTTAGCTAAATAATATTAATATATATTCTATCAGTCCCTTATAACATTTTGCTCATAATATTTTGAAAGTTTAAATACATATAGAGGGCCCTCCCTGGTGGCACAACAGGTTAGGATGCAGCACTGCAAATTGGCCACAGCCACTTTAGTGGAAGTTTGATCCCCAGCCCCAAGGTGATCCACATGGCGTGGCAGACCTCTCCTGACCAGCCCACTGCTCCCCTCAGCAGTGTACTTCCTCGATCTGCCTGTTCTGCTCCCCACTGTCTCTAGTGAAGCCTCTCACCAACCCTGCAACTCTGGCTTGTACCCCAGTTCTGTATGAATAAATAAATCTTGAAACTGTATATATATAGACCTATTGCTTTAATAGAAAGAAATTTTTGAAGTTGTACAAAAAAGTCTATTATGAAAAATTTTACTGTTTCCTATCATAGAATTAGTGGTAAAGAAATATGACACAAAACTTTGTTGTACACCAGAATGGTCTCTAAGTACTTGTACCACCCTGACTCTAATCTTATCTTATCAAAATCTTTACATCAGTGCAACATTTTGGACTTTGGAGTAAAGAGAGTTTAAGAAAATACAAAGATGAATAAACAATGAAAGAGATAGAGTAAGAAAAAAAGAGAGACAGAGAGAGAATAAAAAAGAGAAGGAAAGGCCCTCCCTGGTGGCACAGCGGGTTAAAGCACTGCATTGAGAAGCTAAAGCCACTTCCCCATGAGTTCGATTCCCGCCTGCCCAGGAGGTGACCACATGGCGTGGCAGACCTCTCCTGACCGGCCCGCTGCTCCCCTCAGCAGTGTACTTCATCGATCTGCCTGTTCTGCTCCCCACTCTGGTGAAGCCTCTCGCCGCCCCTGAGCCTCTGGCCTGTACCCCAGTTCTGTATAAACAAATAAATAAATCTTTAAAAAAAAAAAAAAAAAGAGAGAGAAGGAAAACATGAGGCAGTTATGTGAAGGGTAGGTTACAACCAGGCAGAGTGGGTGTCTGGATAGGACTGAATTAGCACAGCTAAACGGGTACATCCCCTTTTCCCTATTTCTCTTCACCACAAGCCGTTAGTGAGAAACTATATATATATGATTTGGAAAATAAATTAACATCCCTAAAACAATGTACTTATTGATAAAGTTGAACTAGATGATTTCTCACTCTCTCCAAACTAAAAAAAAAAGCAACTTTTTTCTTTAAAAAAATAACTGTTTCCATGTATTAACCAATGAATTATATATCAAATATTTAGACCTATATTTTTATCTTAAATTTAAAATCTTAGGAAGTAGCAACATCCCAGTTCTATACCTTTCCTTATCAGTTAACCAGGTCATTTTAAATCCAATTAAACTACCATAATATTTTAAATAGGCATTATTGGGTCAACTATGCTCTATGTGATATACTTTTAGAATTAATTTACTCTACCAGTGTCTATATAAAGCAAGTATATTTTTCTATGTGTGTAGTTTGAATACCTGTGTATAATACACACACAAACAAATTTTAATTCTACTAGATTCATTGAAAATGTTACAATCTATAAAATAGAATCCAATAAAATCCTGTGTAGGCAGCAAGACACTTTTACCTTCCTTGTATCTATTTTCATCAGGCAAAAATATTTATTGTCCTAATGAACCATAATTAGTTAGTGTATGTGGACCATATATGTTGACTTAACAACAGGAGTTTGAAGTTCTGCCATTGTAGCTCTTTAATATAGAGTACATAACTAATGTTTTAACCTTTAAATGAGAATTTTTACATATCCCATTCACCTTGATCAGTAATTTATAAAAACTAGTGGACAGTTAATAAATTCCTATCTGAATCTCCTGAAAAGACCATTTTTGAAAACTACATTGAAACTTTAGATAGTTTTAAAAGTTTATCTCTTGCATACCATTTCCTGAGAACAAAACAGAGCACAAGTGAGAGTTTTTGAATCAATGAATATGCTAAAACTTTAATAAACAAGTTACTTGGCAACTAAAATGTATTAAGTGCCTTAATATCCTTATATATGTTATTCAGAGAAAATTCAAAATCCTGCCTTGAATTCAAGCAAGGGAACATAAAGAACTGGAACTATAAAGATAAAGTACAAAAAAGATTCATGACACAAGCTCAGATCTATGGCACTTGGTGTCAAAAATTCTCGGAACAACATGATCTAAGAAATACAATATTTAACAGTCCTTGATTTCAAGGTTAGAAAATGACATCTGCCTGCTACTATGCAACCCCCTAACCATCCTAAAACAATTCGTTTGTCAATGTTGAGATAAACAAACCACGTTCAAAGTACAGAAATTGCAAAAGGGTGGTAGGTCGCTTGAGGGAGGGTTCTGGCTGGGGATAGGGGCTTGTGCAAGGAATAAAGAAAGGGATTGTTTTTTCCTCCCTACTCTACAGTAGAACGCGCTCCTACCTGTCCTCTGCCTGGGAACTTCAGCTGGGTGCAAATGGGTAGATGTTTTAATTCCTCAGCACACTTCCTATCACCCAGGTTCTTGCATCTGTCCAGTAAGGTACACACGCTTCCCACAGCAAGGTACACACTGCCTCTGCCCGGCTATTACACTGCCTGCTAGATTCACGGCGGCCCCCATCATCCAGTTGACTGTCAGGACTCAAAGGAAACTTTCCAGAAGGCTGCAGTCCTAGAAAAGAAAAGCCTACCCACAGCACTGAGACTTCATGAGCACGGCTGGGAAAGGAGCAGACCAAACGCTATTGACTACTCACAGTTGGCCTCCGAAACTGGAAGCACCAAGGCGAGGCATGCCAGCAGTGCCCCGCAGCGCCCACCCAGGACCCTCATAGCTCAGAGGCCCGAGGCGCAGCCAGGGACTGCGGGTGGCAGCGGGATCTGAGCGCGCGACGCGCGGCGGAGCTGCAAGTCGGGGAGCCGATCTGCGAGGACTGAGGCGCCGCGGCGCCGGCGAACCAGCGCGCCCGCAGAACTGCCGGAGCCGGGGCGGAGGGGACCGCCTGTTCCCAGCCCCCAGCCCAGAGGGGAAGTGATAACCAGGACTTTTCCAGGAAGCTTTTCGGAGCTGGGGGCAGGGCCCTGGGAGGGTGTTGCAGGCCTAGTAAACACAGCGGGCACATCCTTCTCTGCGGGTTCCCAAACTCCAGCGTTTCCTTCGTTCCTGTGTTTCGGAAAATGAACTTTCACAAAGTGAGGGGGCGGCAAAGACAGTCAAAATCCTCAGTGTGCTGGAGTGGGAGCTCAGTGTCCAAGAGAACTTGAAGGATTCCGAAGAGGATACCCAGGCTTAGAAAACCTCTGAGAGATTGACTTAGAGGATGAGGACTTTGGTAAATTTAGAGCCAAATCGAAGATGCAAGGAAAACTACAGCTAGCAGAGCTAATGGAAGCAAAGAGAATGGTTGCGATCATCCATTTTTGTATTTTAAAGAAAAACACAAAAGTAGCAAAAGCAAAATATCCATAAAGTATCCATTCTGCATACACGCCCACCCTTTACTCTTTCTCCTGTCACCCACTCTCTTTGGTAACCTCAGTTCTTGTATTGGTATTCACAAATTTATTTTTATTTTGCTTTGTTAGCTCATCTACTTTGCCTCTTTTCATACTCACAGTATAAGAAATCATCCAATATTTGTCTTTATCTTTCTAACTAACTTTGTTTGGCTTAATCACCTAATTAGAAGCAAATGGTGAAATTACATCTTTGACATAGCTGAATAGTATCCCACTGTGTATAAATACCACACCAAATGCTTTGAGATAACCTATGCACTTGTGAAAAGTTGTTCAACATCATTTATTATAAGGAAAATGCAGATTAAATACATATTCTGATACCACTTGATGCCTGTGAGAATAGGCTATATAAAAAATAGAATCAGCAAATGTTGGTGAGGTGACACTGAAAAATAAAGTCTCATCCTTTTTTGGTGGGAATGCAAGTTGTTACCGCCCCATTACCGCCCCTACGCAAAACAATGTAAGGATTTCTTAAGAAAATTAAAACAGAAATTTTGTATGACCCAGCAATATATCTGTTAGGTATTTATCCAAATAATATGAAACACTAACACAAAAAGATTTATCTATACCTATGTGCACAGAACACTGTTCAAATCGCCAATTAAGGACCCTTCCAGTTGAAATAAAGGGTTAAATAAAGCACAGCACTATGAAGCTACCACAGTCCCTACAGCACTAATAGGACCCCACTAGGGAGGTGACCCACATGGCACAGCAGAAGTCTCCTGACCTGCCTGCTTCTCCCCTCAGCAGTGTGTTTTAGTACATCTGTCTGTTCTGCTTTTCACTCTGTCTCTGGTTAATCCTCTCACCACTCCTGTGCATCTGGCCTGTACCCCAGTGCTGTATGCATAAATAAATAAATCTTTAAAAAAATGCCAATTAAGTCATGGAATCAGTCCAAGTGCCCTTCAACAGATCAATGTGAAATATACTCAATGGAGTTTACTACACAGCAGTGAATGGAGATGAAATGGTCAAAAAGTGAACAACAGATATTGGATGGTTTCATCTCCCTTCATGGGGAAATTGTGGGCTTATTCTGCCCTGTTCTCTTACACCTACCCTACCCTGAAGATTGTAGCCAAAGATCTAGGAGAATATGCAGAGGGAAACATCTAACAAGTTGGATCAAGAAGATATAAAGAAAGGAATAGGATGTCAGAAAAGTTAAAAATGTTTGCCAAAGTCCTACAAAAGTGACTAATTTGGGAAAAGATGAGGTCTTGAGCTAATAGAAAGTGAGAAGAGATAGGAAAACAAAAGGGAGGGGAGAAAATTCATGAAAGTATCATTTAACTACCTACTCCACCCAGCTTTATTGAGAAACAATTGGTTGGCATGCCTCATTAAAGTTTAAAGTACACAAATAGTGATTTGATCTGCATATATTGTGAAATGATTACCACAATAGATTCAGCTAACATTTACCATTTCCTTGCATACAATAATAAGAGATTTTTTTCTCCTTTCATGAGAACTCTCAGGATCTACCTCTTAACATCTTTCCTATATGACCTAAAGCAACATTAACCATAGACATGACAGTGAACATTACATTTCTGATACTTATTTATTACTGGGTTTGTCACCTTCCTCTAAATCTATCTCACCCTACCTGACCCATCCCACATCTGGTAACCACAAATCTGAGCTCTTTTTCTATGAGTTTTATTTACATGTTTATTTTACATATAAGTGAGATCATACAGTATTTATCACTCTTTGACTAATTTCACTTTGTTGCCTTCAACAACTTTCTTCATTAGAATTGTATTTCAGTGTAATTGACAGGATAGTGTGGGCAGATGCAGCTTCTGACGCTAATGAGGAAGGAAGGGATAACTTAAGAAAACATGTATGGGCCCTCCCTGGTGACTCAATGGATTAAAGAACAGCACTGCAAAGCTAGCCACAGCCGCTTCATAGCAAAGCACAGCAGACTTCTCCTGACCCGCCTGCTGCTGCCCTCAGCAAGTGTACTTCATCAGTCTGCCTGTTCTGCTCCCCACTCTGTCTCTGGTGAATCCTCCTACCCTCTGCATCTCTGACCCCAGTTCTGTATACATAAATAAATAAATATTTTTTTAAAGAAAACATGTAGAAGTCATACAACTCTAATAATTGGAAGAATAACCGAAATTATATAGGCAGGACAATGAAAAGAGTGAGCAATATCCCTCCTACCTGAGGTAAGAAAATACTTTTGATAAATATTTATAGGCAGGTGACCAGTTAAAAATATCTTATCTGTTAGAAATAGCACTTGAACTTTATTCATTTCATTATCTTAGCAATCCTGCAGAGTAATGTATAGATTTGGTTCTTGGCTTCAGAGACAGTAAACTGTATTTAAATTTGAATTAGTTACATGAAAAAGTAAAAGATAGAAGTTAATTTTAGACTTGCATCTATATTTAGTCCCAGGATATGGTTTGCTCCTGGATAGAATGGCTTTCCCAGGGGCCTCTCTCCTTTTACCAGGGTTTGAGAATATATATTTAAACAGAAATTGAATGGAAGATAGTTCTCCACATATTGTGTATGTTTTTTTAACCTGTCATTCAAAGACTATAAAAAGAAGTGCAGATATTACATATAGCTTTAAATAAAATGTGTTATAAAACAGCCCACAACTCATAATCCCTATGCTATAAAATCAAATAGCAATATATAATCCTTACATATTGGAAATAGTATCAAAATTATAATACTGGTTATCGTTGGATGGTGTGATAGCTTATTTTCTTCATATTGTTTTTTAGTGATTTTTCGCAGTGAAAATGTATTTATTTTGTAATTGTAACCTCCACCCCAATAGAGAAAATGCCATTCAATTCCATTTCACATTTATATAACAAACGTCAATGAAGATTAAACAGATTAAAACGTCTCCCTCATCTGAACTATTAAGATATATAGCAAACAAGTTTTCCTTCCGCTTAAAATAATTGCCCTAGTGTATTGTTTCTGTGGTTGTGCAGCCTGTCTGTCAGAATCCCAGAGGACGCCCATCCCTGCTGTACAAAACAAAACAAAACACGCCCAACACCTAAGATCTTTGGATCTCAGCTGGGCTTGGAGACAAGAGAAACAGCATCCTTGGCTGACTACATATTTTGGATCCGCGTACAACGGGCCTTGCGGAAAATCTGTCAGGGATCCCTAAATTCATCTCTGGACGCTTTCGTTGCCTAGCGACGAGAACCCGCCCAGCCCCGCCAGTTCCACCTCCTTTTTCTAGCTCCCGCCCGCTTCCTCCGCCCACCTCTCGGGCAGAGGCGGGAGCTGGGCCCTTTTGGCCACTCACAGGCCCCCTCAGCAGGACCTTGAACGGTGATTGGAGCAGTGCCTGGGCGGTGCTGGGGGCGGGCCTTCTGCGCCTGGGGGGCACGTCAGCACGCCGACGCGGGGTTTTTCTCCGGCTGGGCCCGCTAACCCAGCTAGAGCTTGTGTATCTGCGTTCTCCGCGGGTCTGATCCTCGCCGGGGAGGGCGGGCGTCGTGAGCTCGCGGATCGGCGCGGTTGAGGGGGTAGGCGCTCCGACCGGCGGTCCTCACCTTCCTTCCGGCCTCTCCGCCGGCTATCCGCCTCTGAGACGCGGGGGAGCGGTGGCGGCCCCCCGGACTCGGCCCGGGACAACTAGGATCGTCCTCACTCCGGGCTGGATGGGAGGCGGCGGGAGGAGCGGCCTGGGATGTTCAGTCTGATGGCCACTTGCTGCAACTGGTTCAAGCGGTGGCGGGAGCCTGTCAGGTAGGCTGGAGTGGACTTGGGGATGGGGGTAGCCGCGCCTCGACGGACGGGGGCGGGGTGCTGCCTCTGCTCTCCAGTTCTGGACGAATCTCTGCCAGGCCGCAGGGGATGCTTTCACTCTGTTTGATTTGTTCCGGAAGGTGGAGACGAGAGGAGGTAGCTTTTTTGTGCGGTTGCTTTTAAGTTCTCATCAACAATGCTTATTGTTATCATTTCAATGGGTTCGAATTTTTAAAAGAGTTGGGGGAGGTGTGGGCTACTGGGAACTATTCACTGTGTGTTTATTCCTCCGAAGCTTCTGTAATGGTAACTTTTTAAATGGAGAAACAAGTGTTGTGGCTTTCATAACATCCACACATCCCTTTCCAACTTCCCCACGCCCACATCCACGTTTATGTGTGTGTGTGTGTGTGTGTTTTAAGGACTTGTGCTTGGAATTTGGCCCTACTACTTAATAATTATAAGATATAACCTTTTCAGCCCCACCTCCTTATATATTGAATGAGAGTGATTAAGACCTGGCCTTAGGAATGTTGTAGTCAATGAGAATAACTGATGGAAAGTGTCTCCTTAACTGTAGTGTAGCATCAGTATTCATAGAATCTAGTTAAGCCTTTTACTTGAAAGTCTACTACTTAATCTTCATTCTGAACCGTATATATAATACTATTCAGTGCCGGTTACTTGATATATATTCATTTTTCTACAAATACTTGTTGAGAAAAAAACATGCTAGGCACTCTATTAGGAATGAGTCAGTGAAAGTGATGCCTTGAAAATTGAGTGGTTCAACCTGTTTCTTATTCTTTATTAATAACGTTGATTTTTTTTAATAATTATACTTTGGAAATATAGGTCAAGGATAAATTACTGTGAAGTTTTTCTTTTCAGTTGATAAAAATAATAATGAATTGAGACACTAAGTTTATAAGGTAGAGTAGATTTCGGAGATTATGGAAAAGAAAGTTAACTCTCAGTCTTTTACAGGTTGTTTACACGGTGAAATGATAACTTTTGCATACTCTAAGTAAAATACCATATTAAAGTTAATTTCATGTTTTATTTTCACTTTTGAAAAATAGTTGCCAGAAAATTTAACCTAGAAAACTAAAACTTTTGTATTCTTTTTACATTGAACTTCTCTGATCTAGAGCATGGCCTGATATAAAGTCCATAGGTAAATATCTCTAATATTGTCAACAAACTTGAGAACAAGTTGAATTACACCTACCTTTTAAATACCTTTGTTAAATACCTGGTTCATAATAGTGAATGAATAAATATTTACAACATATCATATTGTAAAATATATGTATTGTGGTTTGTTCACTTGTTAGAATAATCCTGAAGTAAATAATATTAGTACATGGTTCTGTTTACTAGAATAAATGAGATGTGAACAAGATGATTTTAAAAAATATATGATTTTTTTTTGTTTTTGATGTATTTTGTATTTTTTCAAGAAATATTTTTATGCTTTCTGTTTAATTTTTAAAGATAGTAGACTATCCTACTTAATGTGATTCATCTTCATATTTGTATTTTTCAACGTGTTTGCAAATGTGAGAATTGTAAAAGGAAGCTGATTAATACACTGAGGGTGTGAGGTTACTTTGCTGACTTATCTACTACATCATGCATCCTTTAGATTTACTCAAGTGTCCTCACTCAGATGTTCTCATGAACATATTCTAGAAAATGGGAATAGGGGTTAGGTGCACTATTCAGAATGTGTGATTAGGACAAGAAGAGTGAAAGATGAAGTGTTCAGATCAAGAGTCGGGACCAGGATGTCACAAAATTTATCAACTAGCTGGTGTTTGAACCATATATGCTGTTTTTTCTAGATAAGTAAATTAATCTAAATTTATAAACTATATTCACTGGTATTTGGCTTGCCTCTATAGAAACAATGCAGTATAGTATTTTATTTAAAGATTTACTTATTTATGCATAAAGAACTAGGGTATAGGCCATAGGTGCAGGGGCAGTGAGAGCAGAGCTGGAAGCAGAACAGGCAGATTGACATTCCCACTGTTGAAGGGAGCAGTGGGCGGGCGGGCCTGCAGTGCCATGTGGGTCTGCTGTGCCATGTGGGTCATCTCCAAGGCTGAGATCTAACTGCTAAAGTGGCTTTGGCTAGCTTCATAGTACTGCCCTTAACACTTTGTGCCACTAGGGAGGGACTAGTATTGTTTTTTTAAACTGGTATTTTGAGATCGCAATACAATAATCAAAGCTAAAAATTAGCTTTGGTGCAGTACATTGAACTATAGACTTTATTCTGAGTTCATCAGTTTTTTGACTGATAGTCTTTTTTTTTTCTTATCTAACACCTAATGGAGGATCCCACATTGCATTTGTCATGTCTCTTTGTTCTCCTTCAGTCTAACACTCCCTTAGTCTTATCTCTCATAGACTTTGAAGAGTACTTGTCAGTTGTAGAGTACCTGTGAATGTGGTTGTCTGATATTTTCTTCTGATTCTGTAAAGGTGTTGTTTGGTAATTGGGCTGAAGAATGCCACAGAGATGTCATGTCCTTCCCAAGATATATCAAAGAGTCTGAGATGTTAATAGGTTTTATTATTGATTATGTTAAATCTTGATCACTTGGTTAATGGTTAAGTGGTATCTGTTAAAAACTGCAATATGACATTGCTTGTATTTTTGACATTAATTTGTATGTGTTTAAAAAGGGGGATGCTTAAGGGAATATGTAAAGTAGACCTTTGGCTCTTAGTGCCTACTGCTTATTATTTTTCTACTCAGAATTATTATCTCTCAGTATAGTATTTTAGAATCAAACAGATTCTCATCTGAATCCTAGGCATTTGGGTGCTTTTCTTCTCAAGGCACATAATTTCTATCTTGTGGCATTTTGAAAGAGGAAATTTATGCAAGTCTTTGATGCTTGGCACATAGTATTTAGTCAGTGGTACCTCTGCTCCTCGGAGGTTAGTGCCAGTTAGTAAATGCCCCTCCTGGGTACATTTCATACTTACCAATCGTCAATGGATGAAGGGTTCCTTTTTTTTTCAAGGCTAATTCTTTTTTTTTTTTAAGATTTATTTATTTATTCACACAGAACTGGGGTACAGGCCAGAGGTGCAGGCGTGGTGAGAGGATTCACCAGAGACAGAGCGGGAAGCAGATCTAGGAAATACACTGCTGAGGGGAGCAGCAGACAGCCAGGAGAGGTCTGTGGCACCATGTAAATCTCCTCCTAGGCAACGGGGATGGAACTCAGTCTGAAGTGGCTCAGTCTGAAGTGGCTTTAGCTTCTTAGTGTTTGTGCTTTAACCCCCTGAGCCACCAGGGAGGGTCCTCAAGGCTAATTCTTATATCTGCGCTCTATATTGTATTTCTTCACATTTTTTGAATTTCATTTGTATTTTTGATAATACTAATTAATTCGGGATACAGCTTTAGGCTTATTCTTGTATCCCACTTTTATCTGTGATTTCTGGTTTCAATTTTCTGTTGATTTTAATGGTTTAGGAATGACTAAATAATTGAAATTATACCAAAACCATGAACATGTAAACTTTTTCAGAAAACTCAGGCCAGATTGTTATACAAGTATAGATGATTTTATTTAGATTATTTAATGTTACAGTCACTTTAAGATTTGTATAAATTAAAATCATGAGAGTATTGTCTTGCCTTTATATTTACTCAGAAGATGCGGAATCAGAAAATATTTTAGGTTGTTTCATGCAGTAAAGAGTCCTGCTGTGTACCCAGTATTCTTGATCCTGGGACTATAGCCTTTGTTAAGACTAGCTGTAGCAGAGGAGACTGAAAAGATAAAGTCTGTGACAGTCCATACTGTCAAGAAGGACTGGGGGGATCCTGGCCAGGTAGGCCTGCAAGGAGTGGCAGACTGGCTTGCTATAGAGTTTGTGTCTCATTATGTTTAAAGATTTTAAGCTGAAGAATAACAACGATTTGATTTTCACCAGCATCATAGTTAGACTTCATTAATAGCAATTTATGACCTTAGTCAATCTACCTATTACTAGATAAATCCACTTTCTATTAGAACTAAGTTATAACAGTAACAAATCTAAGTCTTGTGGAAAAAATTCCAAAATGTCTGAATGAAGATGAGTCACATAACTTAACTATTTGATATATATTTCTGTGTATATACAAACATGTATAAATTTTAAGATAGTCAAATGGTTCAAATTGCCTAGTAAAATAATAATAGTATTAGTAATAATTGTTATGTTTACAAACCATTGCATTTAAATTTCACATGAACGCTGCTGTTGACCAACTTCTTATTAACATTAACTTGTACCTGATTTACTTGCAGAGACTGTGTAAGATAAATGATAGGGTGAAATAGCTTTGAACTATCAAGATCCACTATATAATTTCAAAGCACAGGCTACTTCAGTGTTTGGGAAAAGTGGAGAGCATTTATTTCTAAGGCACTTAATTTGAGGATTTACTAAGAGATAACTTTTCTATTTCAAAGCTTTGCCTGTTTGTTACTCATGTGTTAACCTTTCTGGAAACTGTACTGAAGCTTGCTATTTCTTTTGTCTTACTTCTGACCACAATTTTAAACACTCCTTTAAAGGTTCTCAGGGCTCCATACTCCCCTGTTCCCAGATCTGCTTTTGTTCTCTCTGGATTCTTTCATCTGTTCTCAGTGGTTATAACTACCGTGTATATATCTCATAAAAGCAGTCCAGATCTCCAGCTTCAGACGTCAGCAGTGAGATGAGCACCCTTCCCGCATTATGTAAAACCAGAGTTACTAATTCCTCCTCAGTAAACTGGTCCCTGCCTGTCTCCTGGTCTCATCACGGGGAATCCCTGTCTCCCTGTCTTGAAGTTTATGCTCTAAAAAGAGTTGCTATGGGTTAAGCACTTACTGTGTGCCACAGGCATTCTGCACATAGCATTGTCTTATTTAACTTTTATCACATCCTTATGGGATGGATCTATTTATTATCCCACTTTACTGGTAAAATTCTGAGAAGTAATATGTCCCAGATCATATAATTTGGGAATGGCAAGTCTGAGATTTGGGCATCTCTAAGGCTAAGTTGTGGCTCTGTATCAGAGTGTTCACAATCCCTAGGCCCTAGTATGTTACTTACACTAATATAAATATTCTAAACATCTTTCAAGGCCAGAGTCCTTGTGTTACAGGGCAGGGAGAGAGGAATACCATTGAACCCCCAAACCTGCCTGCTCTTAATAGGTTCTGTCATCCGCTACATCAAGACAAAACATGTAAGTCCACCCAAAAGGGATTGGTCCAAAGCAAGGCCTGAAAGCCCGCCACAAGACAAAAACACCTTCTGGCTAGGATCCATACAAAAGGGTCAGAAATGGCCAGACAAGTCTGGGAGGAAAAGAGCAAATCAAAATCAAGATAAACACTGCCATAGCCAACTCCCCACAGGTCTCTCACCCACATCTGTTTTAACCAGTCAGGGCCAAGAAACAAGCACGGTTTCTTCAACACATGCTCGCTGCTCCATGTGGCTTCATCAGGTCTCCTTCTGGCTCTCCATCTTGCTGCCTTCTCCAGATTCCTTCTCTCCTCTCCTTTTCTCTGCTCAGTTCCACCCTCCTTCTGGGTGGGGCAGGGAACCTGGAACTTCCCCTTTTCCTGGAGACCACCCTGTTACACTTTCATCTTAGTCTAGAAAGTTTGGTATATAATTAACAATTCAAGGATAACTAATTACAGTGAAGTCATTGCTTTCCACTAATTAATTACAGTGAAGTCATTGCTTTCCACTTCTGGGAAGGTCACATTATCAACTATTTGATAATACTAGTTTCTTTAGAAGTATGTTAAGCTCACGTTAGGCTCAATGCAGTCATTCTGAGTTGTGATTATGGTGAGTCTAACAGTTGTGTTTTTGCTTGTATTTAAGGTTGCTCTCCGAAGGTATGCTCTTAACCCGTGGGTTTAGCAGGTTAATGGTGGTGTCTTCTCAGGGACTGTTCTCAGTCTGGAATCTCTTCATCTTCTTTTCCTCTTGGTTGGCAAACCTTCACTTTAAGAACTGCATCATCCGTGTGTCATCACCAAAGTAAAAAGAAAGAAAGAAGTTAATCTTCCATTTAAAAAAAAGAAAAGAAAACAGGGACTTTTAAAAAAGAGAACTGCATCATCACCTTGTTTAAGAAGCTTCCCTGACCTCCCATATCTCTAAACTGGATGAAGTCTTTGTTCTGTGTCCCTTTAGCATCTTGTGCATCTAGATGGGCATTTTTAAATTCATAATATCACATTGTATCAATATTTGCTTATGCTTTCATCACTTCCCTTAGAGGATCAGCACTTTGAGATAGAAACCATGTTCCAGGCATTTTTGTGTCCATAAAGCCTACTGCTTAATGTACCTTTATTGAATTAATGTCTGAATAAATGATTAGTGTTATTTCTAGTGTCAACTTTTTTTAGACATTATAAGCCTAAGAATACTGTACTTTATTCAATTGAGGGATTAATGTATTTGATCAATAATCATCAGACTGAAAGACATATTCTTTCATCTTTTTATTGTCATATAGCACTACAGCCAATCAGTGCTAATTTCCCATAATTTGGAAAGCTGTAATGACATTTTAGTTTTAACATGTGTTTAGGTTATTGCATATCTCCATTATTTAAAAATTACATGAACTTTAAGTTTGGTAGATGAATGTTAACCTTTTAAGTAGATTCTGTTCTGAAAATGTAAATGTATTGCTTTTTTATCAGGCATTGCAGCAATTCATGCTATGATTTATATTTGCACTGCAAATGTTTATTCATTAAAATTTGAATTACCTTATATTCATTTAAGGTAACGTTTTAAATGTATAATATAGTGACCTTAAATTAACTATTTGCAAGGGTAGCCAAAGCAGAAATAGAATCCAAAGAGGACCCTCCCTGATGGTGAAATGGGTTAAAGTGCGACACTGTGAAGCTTTTGTAGCCACTGTAGCATAAGTTTGATCCCTGGCCAGGGAGGTGACCCACATGGTGCAGCAGACCTCTCCTAACCCACCCACTGCTCCCCTCAGCGGTGTATTTCAGTATATCTGCCTGTCTGCTCCCCACTCTGTCTCTGGTGAATTCTCTCACCTGCGCATCCCTGCCCTGTACTCCAGTTTTGAATGCATAAATAAGTAAATCATTAAGAAATAATTTTAAAAATTCCAGAGAGACCATTTTGTGCCAGTCTCACCAAGATTGTAGTTTTCCAAAGTGATTTTGAGTTTGAAGGTCTTTTTCATTTGTACCTAAGATCCTACTAAGAATATTAGAATTATTTTTCAGGTAAAATCTAACATCTTTTGTAGCTAGCTTTAAGGGCAGTGTTTTAAAATGTGTAATAGACATTTTTAGAATGTCGTTTTCTAAACTGAAATTTTGATAAGAATGGGGGATGTAAGATGCCACCTTTGCAGTAGCAAATCAGGCACTGTTTTCATTAAAAAGTAGCCTTGGGATTTATTGCATTTTCTTATAAAGTGGTATGTTCCATGATGTTCCCAGAAACTGCTACATCAGTATGTTTGAGTGTGGTCTTCCCTGATTTGCAGGCACATGACTTACTGTCTCTTCCCATGGCTGTTTGTGTGTCCCCTATATAACAGCAGTCATCACCACATAACTCCCTCTCTAATTCTGTTTGTTTCTAGGCTTCTATGGTTTATTGGGACAAGGGATTGTGGATGTTGGTTTGCTACTGTATAGTGGTTCTTAATCAATATAGAATAAATGTTGTAAATGTAAGAAGGTTTGAATTTGCTTTTACTTTTCCCCAATACAGAATTAAGTCAGAAAAATGATTTTCAATTTTTATTATTTTAAGAAAGGTGACTCTTGTGATGGTGGGACTTGATAATGCTGGCAAAACGGCAACGGCAAAGGGAATCCAAGGAGGTAAGCTCGAAACATTACGAAATTACTTTGAATTATTTAATTTACATTCTTATATATTCATTGGATACAGATAGTGTTCACACCGTTACTTTATTTCTTAGTATACTTATGGCTAATATGATGAAAAGACTGGCTTAATGGTCCTTCTTAGTCATTTTCCAGATTTGATTTAATGCAGTGCAGCAGAGGCTTTTTGACATCTATGCTACACTAAAAGGGGCACAACTTTAGACAATAGGAAGGGGGAAAGTTAAAAATAATAATAATAATAACATGCCCCTCCAGCCCCCACATCCCCTACACACACACACACACACACATACACACACACAGCCTCCCCAAAGGATACACATCTGCTACTTACATTCTATTTTTTTGGTCAGAATTTAGTCACATGGCTACACCTTAGTAAGAGGGTGGTAGAAATAATCATCATAGCTCTCTTGTGCTCTCTTTGTGTCTCTTGACTTTTTTCTCTCATATGTCATTTTTACAGTTAGATTAAGATTGAACCACTGTGTTATTAAAGGGCTTTATGTCATTTATATTCTATTTCATTGTATGTATTTAGTGTGATTTTAATGTTATGTGTTCCAGTATAGCAGTATCCGCTAGTGATTTGTTATATACCCAGAAGGGGCAGGGAGAAAACCTGACATCTATTTGTTCCTGAAAATGGATGCTGCAACAAGATATCATGCATATCAGATAGTCAGGGTGTTTTTACTTATGGAATTTCACAAAAGAAAATTAACATCCTATAAAACTTGCCATTGGAAACTATCATCTTGTCATCTCCAGTTCTGCTATGTAATATTGGGTATAAATTGTGAATTGTTCAGTCTGTGGTTACTTCTAAAGCCTAATTGTCAAGATTCACTGTCATCCTCTAATAAACTTTTTCTAAAAGAGTCAAATAGTTAAGTATTTCAGACTTTGAGAGTCCATACAGACTGTATTTCTAATATTAAGCGTCTTTAGGGTAGAAAACAGCCAGACTAAAAAAATGAGTATGATCATGTTCCAATGAAACTTTATGGATACTAAAATTTTAATTTTATGTGTTGTGAAATACTTTGTTTTTTTGCAATATACAAATGTAAAACACATTATTGGTGTTTGCCATATATAGCAGGTGGTGAGCCAGATTTGGTCTGTGGGCCTTGACTTCTTATCTAAATGTCCTCCCTTTTTTCATTCCTTCAGAACATTCCACTCAGGAAACAGACAGCTCAGAACCTGTTATCAGACCATAGGCTTTGTTGCATGGAGTAGAATAGTCAGTTTCTGTTATGCCCTTTCATTTTTATCTTAACTTACAGGACCACTAGTTCCTTTTTCTCATTCCAGACAGCTTTTTTTTTTTTTTT